AGAGAGAGAGAGAGAGAGAGAGAGAAGAGAGAGAGAGAGAGACACGCTGGGTGTAGAAATAACAAATCCTTCAAAGTAATTACCCCCCAAAGCTGGCACATCTGAATTTACTCTTGATTTGAGTTGTTCAAACAACCTTTTTTTTTAACCTTTTTAATTCATAATCAGAATAAAGAATATTGCTTTTACTGTAACATGATAACTTTCATAAAATATTAGCAACCAACAGCATTCTATATTTAACATTAGAGTTCTAAAATTTTAGGAAATTCATGAGATAAGGAGTCCTAAAATAGGAGGGAAAAAAGAGCCAAAATTCGAAACTCACATTCTATTTATTCTCTCTACTAGTATAGATTTGTAGAGGAAAGGATACACAATAGAATTACAACAAGATGCACTCATGTAAAGGGACACACCTACACAAATTCTACCACAGATGAGAATAAGCACACTGGGCTCAATTATTCAGGACGATGTCGAGAAGTAAGATATGGTGTGGTAGGTAGGAAACATTACAAGATAATACTGAGTTTTTCTATCTAAATTCTATTTGTGAGAGATGAAATGATGAATGATATACCAAAGAACTGTTGACAGCACGTAAGCAGTCGTTTGTCTTCAGCATCAATAATATTACACGAGGCAGTCTACTTAACAGCTCTGAGATCTGTGAGAAATACTGAGAAGCATACATCTGCACAGAAAATGGATATTCCCAAATTAACATAATTAGTGAAGCCCTTCAGTAGTAACACCAAGGAATTAGTATCCAGACAACAGCAAAAGTCCTAAACATATTCCAACAGCCAACAGATAATAATGGTGATGAAGAGGTGCAACTTATGAAAGCCCTTTCCAATGATATATTACATAACCAGTAATGATATGCCAAAACAGTACATGATCACTTAGAAGCAGTATTACATATCAATGTTCTCAGCATCGGACCGGCCACCGAACCCTTGAGGGGTATGATCTAGTTAAAATCATAGTTATAGGGAGCGCCATGGTGGACATGATTTGGGCTCCGGAATCCAGATGCTGCGATCCAAAGCTGCGATCTCGACCGCAACTCGTTTTTTTTTTTCGAGCACTTTCCACAGAATCTCGCTTCCTTATTTGTAGGAACCTCAATCCCACCTAATCACGGTGCTCAATCCCGTTATTTGTGGATCTTTATCCCTATCATGTTCGGATCGCAATCCACCAATACAAGGAACTCAATCCCTATATTTATGGATCTCCATCCTTATCGAGATCTCGATCCCTATATTTGTGGATCTCCATATCGATCCCAAACATCAAGAATTGAAGTACCTAGGTTGCTACTTGAGTTGTAAAATGTATAAATCATATCAAGAACTAAAATAATTAAAGCATTTAACACAAACTGAAGAGGGAACCCCATCTGTTGTGTAAAGGGATCTAGTTTCCGTGAGCATTGGGACTACGATCTTTTAGATGCATGGATCAATTTATAAGGATCACAGTCCCTGAGAATTTGGGGTCGCGATCCCATGGGAATGGCGGTCCTTGAGAAATGGGATCTCGCTCCCATGAGTGTTGGAAACGAGATCCTTTATATATGGCATCTCGCTCCGAGATAGATACATCGTATAGAGTGCACTCCTTGAATGTCAGAGCTTCTGTCACCCTTCGATCCGCCATTCCTGCTCTCAATCCCAAAACCATTCCCGCTCCGAAGCCCGGTAACTACGGTCAAAACCGGTCCAACCGCCAATTAAATTGGTTTTGATGCAAGGCTATCAGATTTGCTTCAAAGCCATCTTTGGTTTGGTTGAAAAAAGGAAGCGCTTCAGTGATTCGGCCGATATGGGGGAAGACTTCAGATATTTTTTAAAAATTTTCAAAAGCATTTTATATCTATATATATATATATATATGGAAATGTATACAACGAGACTTTATTTTCGATACAAGGAGGGAATAATCATTATTGATCGTTGGATTTGAAATCGGGTTCTTGAGGATATGCCATTGTTTAAGTATAAAGTCCAAAACAAAATTTCTCGAATGTTGTGATACACTTTCATCAATTGGATTTTACATCCAATGGCTAAAAGTGATTATGACATCCTTATACCAAAATAAAAGGTCCCATAGTATATATATATATATATAAAGAGAGAGAGAGAGAGACAGAGAGCCAAGGCTCTAAACAATCAAATTAGAGCCCACCTCAAAAATTTCACTAGAAGAGATTATTTTGATCCCCAAATATCCTCAAATTGAACTATGTTAGTGATTTTTATCCTAACCTTGCACTAGACTCTAAACCTTTATATGATAGACTAAAAAAGAATCCTCCTCCTTGGACTGACATCCATACTCAAGCAATAAAGGTAATAAAGAGCAAGGTAAAAACCCTTGAATGTCTTTCTCTTCCACATCCTACTGCTTTCAAAATTATAGAATGTGACGCCTCTGATAAAGGTCTTGGTGGAATTTTAAAACAACAAATTGATTCTAAGGAACAATTATTACGCTATACATCCAAAGCATGGAACTCCACACAGTTAAATTATTCCATGGTGAAAAAGGAATTATTAGCCATAGTCCACTGTGTTACCAAATTCCAAAGTGATGTTTTAAATCAACACTTTCTCATACGCACTGACTGCAAAGCAGCCAAAGATATTCTGCAAAAAGATGTGCAAAATTTGGTTTCCAAACAAATATTTGCCCGCTGGCAGGCCATTCTCTCTGCCTTTGATTTCTCAATAGAACATCTTCCCGGGTCTTCTAATTCTTTACCCGATTTTCTCACCCGTGAATTTTTGCAGGGGGGCAACACTGACGCCAACGACGAAGCTCCATTATCTCTTGCTCTCCAATTATTCCAAGAGAATCAAACCAATACTACTCTTTCATTTTTAAATATGGGATCCCGAGGCAATACTCGCAGGGATAAACAACCCATGAAATCTCTAGTACCTTATGAAAGAGAACCCTCACCTTTGAATATCCGTTCACCTTCTCAATCTCCAATCCATCAAATAACTTATCCAGAAGCACATGCTTCTACTCCCACATTCTCACCAGCTCAGTCAAAATCTGTTCCTCCATCAAATACTCCACGATCTGTATATATTGAAAGAGCCTTTTTAATGGATATCACCATTGATGAACATCAAGTTCACATGGATCCAAGCAAACTTGCACCATTATACTTGCTCAATCATCTTAATCCTATCAATGGGGTTAAGACTCGAGAATAATATGAAGCCATACTCATGGAAACAGGGTCCATCTCTGTTGTCCATTACTTCCAACAAAATACTAGAATAATAGCTTATTCTAAAGTACAAATAAAGAAACTTCTTTCTTATGATGAGTGGGGTAGCAATCCCGCACAAGGAAAGAAATTACAAAACCCAGAGTTTTCTTATAAATATTTTAAATATGCCGAGTATATAGAAGCCTGGCACAAATTCTTTTACTACCAAAATCCTAACAATACTCACAGCTGGTATTTACAGTTCCGGCTGCCTATTTTTGAAAGATTCCCCACATGGTTTCAAAACTGGTATTTTGTGTGGGGTTCAACTGCTTTGATTTTATCTCCTCCTTTCAAGGAGTTGCAGGAACAATTCATACAATACAATAATAGTGATACTTCAGTTGACACTCACCTTTACTTTATGGCATTGTACCAAATCCCTTGGATTATGAAATGTGATTATACTATATCACCCAATACCACAAATGACTATACCTACATCCCTCGTCTGGGAAAAACCATACCTGTTAAATGGTGGGATATCTTCCAAATGGATCTCACCAAAGCCACTCCAAAGAGAATACCTCCAAAAACACCCAAATACCAGGAAAACCCAAATACTGCAAACACCTCTTTTGACTTTCCAACTTATCTGCGAAATATGTTACAAACCAATCCCCATGCATCCAAAGAGGAACTGGAAAAACAAATGAAAGAAATTTTTGCTGAAGCCGGAAGAAAGCCAACATCTTCCGAAGAAACCGTACAGTCCTCTCCACTCCATACCAATAGGTATCTCCAATTAAGCCAAAGTAATCCAAAAGAGACAGATCCCGAAGAAACAGATCCGGAAGAAGATGATCCGGAAGAATTCAGCCAAAGACCATAGCGACATCCATGACGGCACAAAGAAACAAACAATAAACGACAAAATGCTATTCCAAGATTCCATCACCGACATATGCGACAAATATAATGGTCCTGTCACAGACAAAGAACACTGTGCTCCACTGTAGCAATAATGTAATATGGCCAAAAGAGCCACTGTACATAGATGCTCTTTTCTTTTCTTTTCTTTTATTTTTTGTCTTCTTGCTTCCACTCTCTTTTGTCTTATTCAAGGCGAATCTCTTTTGCCTCCACTCTCTTATCCTCTCTTGTCGTCTAGTACCGACAATCCTCCACTTGCTCTTGTCGTCTTATACCGACAAACCTTTCCAGTTTGTCGTTCTCTACTCTCCCCTTTATTCCTTTCTTCATGATGAAGGAACTTCTCTCTATATAAAGGAAGCAGACCCTCTTCATTCGGCAGGGTCTCACTTCTCCTCCTCTCTTCTACTCCCTTGCTCAGAGCCCTCCAGGGTCGCTCGCTTCTTCTTTCTCTCTCCCTCTTCACCCTGCTTTAACTTGCAACCTACAACCTACCTGCAACCTACCTGCAACCTGTTACCTACCTGCAACCTCCTGTTACCTATTGCAACCTGCAACTTACCGGAAACCTGCAAACCTACCTACTACACCTTTCAGTCCCTGAAAACTCTTAACCTTTTCTGAAGCAATAATAATTTAGAGCTATCCTCGCCCTCATAGCTCGACATAATCAGGTTCTTTCTTACCTTACTTTGTTAATTATGTGTGATTGTAATATCAACGATTTACCCTCATACTGCCCACATCACTGGAAGTTATTTTCCAGTTACTGTCTGTGTACACAGTAAGTTTCCCTTCTTTGTTTTACCTATTCTCAGTTTGATCTCTCTCTAAAGCATATTCTCTTCTCTTTTCTCTTCTCTCTTCTCTATCTCTTTCTTGTATATCAAGTCCTGTTATTGTACAGTCCTGTAATATGTATTGAGCACATGTTTGTATGAAATATATGTTTGAATATATGTTTTAATTATGCAAATTAAGATTTTGTTTAATATTAAGATCGGAGAAAATAGTTATGCTCAGTGGATAGTATTAGATATATCCATAGTCCCCTTAGTCGGAATAATCTTGTTTTGCCTTAACTATTATAGAATTTAACAAGCAATAATCACTTACAACGGTTTATTATTCACATACTTATTATAAATCAAATACTTACAACTCTGCAACTTAGATAACAATAAAAATAAGCATAAAGTGACAGTGCTGTAGATCTTGGCGAAAGTTGGTATCAGAGCCATAACAGTGAAACACTGTCAACAAATTACAACAGTAGAACTGTTCAACAGTGGAACTGTGTAAACAGTTACAACTGTAGAAATAGTAAAACTGTTCTTTTAACTCCATAAGTTAAAGATAAAGTTACATTTTACTATAAGATACTAAGTAAGATTGACCACCAAGAAAGTTGGTCCGAGAGTTAAGGCAAGAGACAAGTGAAAGCCTGAGGCAAAGTACCGCCAAGGCCAGGGAGAGCCGCTTAGGGAAAAAGCTAGGGCCACTGAATGTCCAGATTGTCATTA